GGATAGATCTGGGAGCGGGATCCTCAGGCCGAAGAAGACCGTAGCCGAGCTGGTCCGGGGACATGTTCAGGTCGGCAGAGTCTAGGACGAGATAGTCAAGCGCATCTGCAACCTTCTTGCACTCGACTTTCTTCGCCTTGATCTTGGCAATTTCCTCCTCGGGGATCTGAGCATGGCACTCTTTGACAAGCCTGTCAATCGTAGCCTCGACCCCAAGAGCCTGGTTCAGCAGGTCTTCCTTCGGACGAACAGTGACCTCTTGCTCGGCCAGGAACGCCTTCACCCGATCTAGGCGATCTTGGGCCTTCTTCCTCGTGCGCTCAACCACAGCCTGCCGATCTAGGCGAAGTCACCAGCATTCGGATTCACAGAATTGCTGAAGGAGCTGAAGGTCGCCATCGGCTTTTGCCTTCTCCGCAGCAAGGGTCGCATTCTCGGCCCGAAGGCCGGCAATTGTATCCTCTAAGGAAGCGACGACTCCCTCTTGAACCTTGGCCTGTTCCTCCAAGCCTCCCACTTGCTTCCGCAGCATGGCCACTTTGTCCTGGGCCTCTTTGGCGCATTTCTCCATCATCAAGAAGGCATGATTCGCCGTCGAGTGCGACTTCACCCCCTTTTCATATTTGAAGAAGAGAGCGTTGCCATAGGCGATCGACTAGAGGAAGGACAAAACGGTGTTAAAATATGCACGAAATATAAAGGACAAGTATCAAGGAATGATAAACAAATCTGCAACGCGGATCGGGTATAGTTCAGATAGTCCTCCTTGAACTCTAGCGCGTCGAGATCGGGCAGAATTTCCGAAGAAAATTTCAAATTTCGGCATAATTCTGCCGAGGCATAACGGTCGCCGGCGACGGAGCTTTCTCCGAAGTAGTCGAACCAGAATTTGTCTGTCTTCGAATCCTTCCGAGTTAATCGGAAAGGATCAGAAGACTCTAGATCAGCTGCTTCGGCCGACCTCTTACGGCTAGATTGGTTGCCGGAGTCCAGAGCCACGCCCTTGCCTTTGTCGACTCTCTTCTTCTTTTTCTTCCTCCCGGCCGCGTCTCCTTCGGACAGAGCGACCTCTTGCTCGGCGGCTACGACCTCCTGCCCGGGAACCTTGACCTCGTCACCACCGCTGACTTCCAAGTCCACGATCGGAGGATCAGTAGGGGCGACCTCTCCTCCGGTAGCCGATTCAACTACGGCGACCTCCATAGCCGTTGTTGTTGGTGCAGCAAGCTCCGCGTCCTGAGCCTGGAGGGCAGTTACCGAAGTACCTGACGACTTGGCCAGCTCCTCTGCGAAGTTTGGATACTTTCTCGGGATCCTTCCCATCGCTTCTTCAACTCGCTTTCGGCTAAATTGGTTCCACGCTCGATTCTCCCCGCTAAACAGGCTTGCCACAATGTCGGAGTACTCCTGTGGGAACGTAGAAAAATTTCGGATGCGATCCGCACAAAAGAGGAGAAGTCAGGTCAGAACGATAAGGGAATTTAAAGAGAAACGCAGATTAAATACCCGGATCACTATTCCATCGTCGGCGTAGACCAACAAAAGGATTCTCGAGTGAGAGCTAGTCAGCTCGGACCAAGGGTTCACACAATGAATTTATTAAGGAAAGGAGAATAAATTCACTTTGAACAATCTCTCAAGAACTCGATTAAAACGGATTTGGAAGGATTGATTCGACCAAGAAATGAACGATTTAGGGTTTGCTCAATAACAAGTGAAGAACTAGGGTTTTTGTTATTAAATGATCGATGCCCTAAAATAGAGACATCTT